GGGTTGTTGCGCTGTGTAGTCTGGTCGATGTTTACCAACGTTTCAGAGGTCATACTGCCTCCATCATCAGGGCAATGAAACGTTGGTTAACATCGACCAGACTACACAGCGCAACAACCCAGAAGACGGACATCTTCAGCCATCTTCTAGTTGCATACCGTCCAGAAAGTCTAATGCGGTCTCAGTTTTAACCATACAGAAAAATAAGAAGTAATTTATATAAAATTTAGTTCAAGTTTTTGTATATTTGTGAATTAATGGAAAAATTGGGACATACATTTGTTTTATTCTTACGCGCTCACTTTAAAATGTCGTTCGAGTGAAATGCGTGTTAGCCGATACCCCTGAAGTAATCTGTATATACTTCTTGCCGCACTAGCGTGGCGGAGAAGATGCCGCTCTGTCACGGCGAAAATCGTCAGTAGCATTGCGTTACGAACATCTACTGTACAGCGTACACATAAACACTAACTATTTAGGTGGCTTAGGGCAGTGGTATTCAACCTTTTTTGTTCGCGTACCCCCAGATATAATTTCTCTTCAACTTTGTACCCCCAAAGTTGTTGGTGTATAATTCAAGTTATACATAGTATATAATCTACATCTAAAATAAATTAAATAAATTACATTACTGATTATTCAGTGTGTATCATAAAATAATATTTTTTTTAAATTTCACGTACCCCCGGGGGTACGCGTACCCTAGGTTGAATACCACTGGCTTAGGGAACCCGAAGGTTCATCACCGAACTAACCAAAGCCCTCCACCGGTCCCTGTCCTGGGCCTACAATATCCAATCGAATAACTGTACACACAAACACGGAGCCCGTCACATCGAGACCCCACGCATTGATTATAATTCCTGCTACTAAGATAGATACATTTTTCTTTTTTCTTTCTTCATACAACGGTTATAAAGCGATAAAGTGACTTATATTTAATAGTTAGCCATCGCTAATCTCGATCAGTGAACAAGCTGTTCTGAGTATTTCGTATATTTTTGCAGCCCTTCCAGAAGAATTTTGTAATGATTCTTATATTACGTCGTCACCTTTCCCGTCCGAAGCGTTAGGGACTAATTATATACAGGGTGAGTCAAAAGTGTGTTTACAAACTTCGTGTGCGTGTTCCAGGATCAAAAATACAAAAAATGTTCCTATGAACATGGGGTCGTAAATGTTTCATTTTCGATATAAAGGTCCTTTTTGCCTCCATTATCGGGCGACCGCCCTAATGATGGAGGCAGCAAGGACATCTGAAACGTCAGTAAACCTCTACCGGACTACACGGCATTAAAACCCAGACGAGTGTAATTTTATTAGTCACCGCCTTGAGAACCTCAAATCGCATTCGCTTGTGTGTGTTTTCCATACATGACGTTTTGAGCCGATGGTCGGATTTTTATGAAATATTTCATGAACACCATTTGACTAATGGCCAATCAAATCCATTTTTGTACTTATTAATTAAGTGTTCAGTAATGTTTAATTCTGTTTTAACTTCTGAAGCTAGATTGGAATCTTAAATTAGGTACATGAAATTTTATGTGGTAATACAAATTTGATAGATGATTTTTTATTGACTCAAATTTTGTGCAGTGTAAAACAAAATATGGCTACCGGGTGATATGTGTATTTTATCACCGGTTAAATGAAACATTTGAGATAGTTTCATCAAAATATATATATGTTAATAGGTCATACTTGTATATTTTATGTGAAATGTGTCTGTACATCAACGTTACAAATGCGATGACCGTGCCAAGTTTTGAGAATATCTGTCAAATTTAAGTGAACATTATGTAAGTGGAAGTTATGCATATCTGTGAATCAGGCATTTGCGTAATTATTGATTATACTTTTTTAGTTCTCTCAATTTTGCGAGGTACACTGGAACATTTGCAAAAAGTAGAAGAGTCTCCCTGTAATGCTGGTTTCGCGCCTTACACTGACAAATATTTTACAGTTTATTAGAGTACCGGCTTGTAGCCAAAGCAGTCTAGCACGAATAGACACAATTTTAAATTTGTTCATAAAAATAACTAGTATGAAATAATATAATACTTTGGCCTTTTAGCAGGCATCCAAACACGTCTGTTGTTCGTTGACTGTTCTTAGTTCGATGCCCTCTGCTCAAATGTGAGTGCTCTGTGTCCAATTACCTTTAAAAATTGCTTATCTTTACATGCGTTGCAGATACATTTCTGTTGTCAGTAATTATTTACAATTATATAATTCAGGATTAACTGTTATGATGTGTGTAACATGTAGCATGCATGCTAGAAACGAGAAATTCATACAGTTCTGGGTTGGAAAATTTGTTAAGAAGATTTCAATTCAAAATCCTAGACGTACATGAGAGTAAACGTTTGTACATGAATCTTATTAAATTAATAAAATTGCCAATTTTCCCAAAATGCTTTACTACATACCAACATTTCTTTAAGTCAAACTCTCATTGTCTCTTCTACGAACGTGTATTATTGTGCAGTAAACATCATAGTAGATGGAGCGTCGTTTAATAATCTATTATAAGGCCTTGATTAGAGATGAGGTTGAATATATTTCACTGGAAAAATGAGCAGTACATTGCCCTAAGAATTTGCCTCGGGCAGGCCCCACGTTATCTGAATTTATTTTATAATTAGATTATTGCCCCCCTTCTGATCTTTTGTTTCGGCTCTGTCGTTGCCATGGAATTGGCGTAAAGTACAAAATAATAGGTAAAGCTTTCTCCTCTTTGTGTAAAATCGATTCAATCCACGTTTTAAACCTTAATTCAATACATTCTTCGCCCTGAAAATAAATGTAGTGTTTTAAAGTTGATATTTTTCAACGTATTATTTCATTTTGTTCGTGCTCATGGTCTAGTCTTCATAAACGCCTTTTCCACCCGGAATATTGTTTTAATAAACCGTACTGAAACAATGATATTTCACATTTCTTATAACAAATATACAGGGTATACACAAAAGAATGGTGCGGTTTCAAAAGTTAATAAAAGATTTCAAAAATGAGTCGCCAGTCACAGTTGTACCATTCTTTTGTGTATACCCTGTATTTAACCCTTTGAAGCGAAGTATGAAGATGGCTGTCTTCTGGG